TTGAAGAAGACTAACGTGGTCTACAAACTTGAATGCAACGACTGCGACAAACATTATGTTGGCCAAACGGGAAGAAAACTTGCTACGAGAATACAGAACACAAGCTTGCCAGCAGAAGACATGACCCAATGTCACTCGTTTCAATCCACGAAGACAGAGAAGGACACAAGTTCAAGTGGGACAATGTGCAAACACTCGCTCACGCAAGAACAAAACGGGAGCGAGAATTTGCCAAGGCGTAGTACTCCACACAAAAATCGATCAATAAACACATTGACATTGACCCAGTCTATCAGCCGTTACGAGCAAAAGAATCACACAGTCACGGGACTCGGAGCCAAGAAACCTAACGGCAACCAACGGACTAATTGGGTCAAAGGAAGACAATCACAAAAAACAGAAAGCCGATGAATCGACCAATCAAGCGAAAAAAACCCACACCACAAAGCAAGAAGGAAACGACCGAATAACAGCAGAACAACCACATACAGAACTGCCGAATTGAATGCATCCAACGAACCAACCAGACACAGGAGATTGAGACCAAGTCAGATTCACAGAAGACCCATCAAACTACACGGTGCCTCCTTCAGGATGGCGCAAACCGCGAGGTGTACAGCACATGACTTGGCATGGAGAGGAAGACTTCACCCACTCAACCCTGCACTGACGATGTCACCTCGATTGGTGATGAAACGTTTGCAATCCAACTGCCCAGCTCGGCGAACAGACCAACAACCAAACAGCTCACCCGAGCTACCTACATTCCACAACATTGCTATCACGAAAAGTGCCTGACTGTGTGACTCCCAATAAACCTGAGTGTATAGTGCTGGTTGGTCTTGTCCCCCTTGTTTCCCATTCAACCGCGGTTGGTGATCCAACTGATTGCGGAATATTATTGGGGTAGCATGATGTCTTCGCTCTTATGCAATAAACGGCGCATCTTTGGCTGTCCACTACCTTGATTCACGAGTTACTTTATCCACACCACAATTTTTATCATCACACTAACTAATTCTCACGGAAAACAGTGTTTCCCTCCATCGTTAAATTTCTGACAATCTCCGAGTATTCTGATAAAACAAATTTGATTGTCTTTCTGTTGTTCTGTTTATAGGGGCATTTGTCGTGACATGAATTTAGACTTAGTTCGTTTTGGCGAGAATCGCTCTTCATGCAATTCGAGTGACACTCGTCGATACTGAGAAGTCAATTTTTTTACAACAGCGTTCTACTATGTTCGATTGAAGCATACAACCATTGAGTGGACCTTTGTCATCCTATGCGAAAAGGTTTATTTGGGACCGGTCAGAAGCTCATACTTCCCATTGGCTGTGTTGCATAAAGTTTAATATTCTCCGTGAAAAAACGATGTAGCGAGCGATCAGCTGTGTTTGTTTGTACGCTAGGATATCCGCCTTCGTGTTGAGCAACCACATCCTGATCGACAGAGCTTGTCCTGTTGGGCTGTTATTTGCGGACTTTACGAACACTACCAGTAGAATTGTTCAGAGACTCTCTGGGCGTGCGAAAATGGAACGAAGTATCTCGTTTTTAGAGCTGTTTGATGATGCCTTCTAGTAAGGGAATGGTGCGATTAAATACCCATTGGGAATGAGCGGGGGCCTGTGCCACACCTGTTCCCGATAGCGAACCGAGTACAATGCCCGTTTACCCATCCAGTGAACCTGTTCAGCCGATCCCTCTAGTTCGCCACCTGTGTTTCAATGTCATCTGTGTGGCCGTATGTTTAGTCGCGGTTTATATAGCCCGAGCCAGTTGTGCCCACGATGCAACAGTCTGATGTTCTCGTTTCGAATGAAATCTACTTTCATTTTGTAAACATGACGCTCTAACAACCTCTCGCGCTGTTTAAAGAAAGCTAATTCAATACAGACGTAAATGACCTACTGCCCTACCACTTGATCAGACAAGCCCATTGGCGCCTGGAGCCTATTCAGCGGTTATCCATTTCGCGGTCATATCACTCTGGTTTGAACGCTCCCCTTCCTATCGTGGGTCCACTCCAAAAGGTGGAGGCATTGGAATCGAGTTTCGCTCTCATTAGAGCACATCAGTAGTGCGTATCCTTGACCGAGCCGAGGTTTGAACTCTAGGCATCTGAAATGCGACAAACGCGCCCTGGACGATCATGGATAATCACATCCGAACCGGTGATGTGTTAGCCTGACGGTGTTTCGCACCGTAAACAGCATGGAATTTTTATGCATCATAGTTGAGGGCTTTCGCGAAAAACGCAACATGTGTCTGTAAGTTCCAATTTCACATCTGACCATGGGAGTAATGGCTCCATCCACAGGAGAGAAGAAAACTAACGCTGAAAAAATATGTCCTGCTACATGATTGTCCCTGACGAAATTGTCTCCTGTTACCCACCAACCCTGCCTTGATTATCTTTTTTTCGATATATATTCTCTGTTTTCGCTTAGACCCATGAGTCTCATCAACCAAGCCAAGACTTCACCTGAGTTGTTGGAAGTGTCCAGGCACTTGCCCGATGAGTTTGACTGGCGTAAGCAGTCACCCAGTCCGGTTACTCCTGTGCGCAACCAGGAGGCTTGTGGTAGCTGTTATGCATTTGCCTCCGCTGCCGCCCTTGAGGCCCGTATTCGACTGGTGAGTAACTTCACAGAGGAACCCATACTTTCGCCACAAGATGTCGTTGACTGCAGTCCGTATTCGGAGGGTAAGTTATGATGCCATCTAGCCCACTTGCGGTAAACGCTTCCATTCACTTAGTTTTAATCTGTATTCAATCTTCAAAACTTGACTCGCAGAGGTACGTCGAAACGAAAAAAAGTAATGCGAAAACGATGACCACCGCTAATTTATGTCAAAGGCTAAAGTTTTTTTATCTCCGAGATTCTGAAACCAGATAACATTTAGTCAGCATATCATCGACCACTATGCGACCCACTTGCGTTATTGTTGCCGAAGGTTATGTTCAAGCCCATTCAACTTCGTGGTAGCTAGGTTATTTGCTGCCACTTCCTGCAATTCAAGAGTGACAAACCATCGTCTCTGAGTCCCATGTACTGTTTTTGCTCTTCTCGAATCGTCTTGATTAACAAGTGCACAACCCAGGGCAGGGATTGAATGAGGCTTAGCTTCTTTTAGCGATTCCGCATACAGTGCAGTGATTACGGTGGAAACACGGTGGTGCGGAATTACGCTGAAGTAAACGAGAAGTATCACAACATGAATTCGGTGGGTACAAAATCCACCAATAAACTGCTAAACACTTGGGGATCTGCCGTCACGAAGAGACTGGACCTTACCGTGGTGTGACGGTTTGCGCACCTCAGCGATCCATTGAGCTATACTGGAGAGTGTCCCGCGACACTCACAGAGTCTCTCACACCAGGTT